GAGAGAAGGATTTCAGTTCAGTGGCAAATGAACTAAACTGAAATATAATTTTTTTTTATTGATGGCTACATGTAGAATAATGCTTTTGCACAAAGAATGAATTTCATTACATGTTAGATAATGATGATTGATAAATTGCAATCAACTCAATTGCAATTTATCAATCATTGAAACACATTTGCAATCAATTGCAAATGTGTGTTTGAAAACATATCACAGTGGTAGTTGCACAGACTGTTGATATGAATTTTCTGAAAATTGCTTTAAGTGGCAAGATATTAATGCAGACATGCAATACTGGAGACATTGTGTTCAAGGTTGATGTAGGTTGATGCTACTTTGTGTACAAGTGAACTGCATAAAACCAGACTTTTAACGCTTCTTTCTGGTGGATCACTTGGTATTCTTACGAGCTACTCGCCTGGCAAGCTAACATACTTAAGAATCGCAGTAGGCTGCATCAGTTTTTGAGTGCCTGCATGAGACCAGGACTAGGATCAGGCGACTAGGATCAGGCAACTCAATGAGAAAGGGGGAGTCTAGCTGATCCAGCATCAATCACAGTACCCAAGAAAAACAACCAGAGGTAGAATGCATCAAAACAGGCCAGAGCATGGTAACTATTGGCAAGATTAACTGAACAATCTACTGGCTTGCCACTCGTGCACACAATCAAGCAGCTGTCAGTAGAGGGTCTTGGCATGTCACTAGACATTCTCTCACTGTTCAAATGCATAATTCAAACATCTTTGACAAGTCAAGCCTGGCCTCAGGCTGGGCTTGGTGAGTAAAAACTCCCAGAACCCCATCAAGCAGGTATCAAACAGGTATCACAAAATCAGGGAAGGGCAAGACCAGGGGCATACCAAGGGGGCTATCGGAAAAAGGCATTTCATTACATTTGACACCAGATTTCTGATAGGCTATCAGTTGTTTCCTGTCCCTAGCCTGTCCCTCTCTTTCCCATGTGGTGTAGAAGTATTCAGATTGGGTGGCTCACGAGTGATGCCACCCAATTATAGGCTGACTCTGGAACCCGTTGTGACTTGAGTTGTCACATGGTGCTAGTTGGGAACGTCATGGTTACGGTATTGATCCCATGGCAATGAGTATTTGTCTTTTACCTCAGGATTCCTAATGTCCTTCAAGCAGTCTCCGATTTCATTGACGTAATCTTTTTTTTTCTTCTCGGTAGAGGTGGCCAAATTCATGTCCAGCCTCCTACTAGGCAAGGATAAGTCTCAGGTGTCCTGGTGCAGTTTCCCAAGTTTTGGCAGAATCAGTGCTTAGCTCATAGCTACTGATGGCCCATCAGAAAATTTTATGTCATTAAATTCACCACTATATGTATTCTATTTTCTCAATATCAACTCCAGTCTCTGAATTTTTTATCCAGTGTAAAGACAGGTTCATAAATTCTTACTATCCTTATAGTTTCCTTATATTACACTAGAATATTTCTAAAATATCTACCAGTTGTATCCTTCGAGTTTCTAATTTATCTTTCCTTTGGGGCCCTTATACCCCAGTTGATTCTTTTGGGATTAGAATTGCCTAGTATTAATAAGTTCCTTCATTTTATTATCAACTGTATGTTGGTAAATTGTCTGAAAACTCTAATCTTTAAGCGACATTCTAATTCAGTCTAATTATATCTTGCTGCCAAAGACATCATTACCTCCACCAGTTAAGTTATATCCTGCAAAATGCCTATTGGCCATATTTGAATGGTTGACTTGTCCATCTTAACCATTCAAGTTGAAAATTTCTTGAAGCTTAATTTTTTGAAGTAGATGAGATTTAATTAAGATGAGCAATTTTCATTTTAACTTCTCAAAAATAGCACTTGCTAGCATAAAGTTGGGTCTGAACTAACTGCCCACCAACTGAGTGGTAGAGCTAACTGCTCTACCACTCATGGATGTTCAGCAATTTGACAAGATGGAAGTGTTCAAAAGGTAGAGGTAACACTGCCTAAGTGGTGGGTTATTGCTAGATTTGAACCCTAGTGAACAGTTAAGTTTAAATATGTCTACCCTTAGTAACCCGAGAAATGAAGGCGAGGGTCTTTGTGACATTTTAGATCAACTTTAAAAAGCAATACCTGAGAATTATATTTTATATAAAAAATAAGTTAATTCCAGCCATGTTTTTTTTGTTTATTCTTATCAAATGTTGTAAATATATCTCAAGCATTATAAATTCTCATACATGATTGAGCAAAAGTCTTGTTAATTTTGCAAACAGAATGCAGCTTATTTATATAATACTAGCTAAATCTGTAAATAAATTTCTGTTCAATGTTTTGCAGTCTTATTTTGTAATGACTGAGGTAGTTGTAGTAGTAGATTCTCTAGAAATTACTGTCTCAGGCACTGAATGCTCAATGCTCTGGATAAAAATGAATACGTAGGCCTGCTGTTAAACAAGTTCCTTCAGTAGTTCTTTGCCTTTATACCCGACTGGCAGGTTCAGAGCAACTTTAGGTCCCAGAAGGACAAGTACCTACTCCAACTCTATCCACCCGAGGTAACCACTGAACGTGTGCACAAAAACTTTTCAAACCACTCTTAAGGTCCTCCAAATGATTTTGGGCAAACAACATTTCAAAATGATTCATGAAATTAACAAAACATTCATCAACCCAAGTACTGTACTGTGACCAGCACTAAATGCCAGCACTACTGGACAAGTATGTCAGGAGAAATAGTGCGCCTTCCTGAACAATTGTCCAAGGTTGGACTAGTTCAGTATATTCGGTTAATTCTTATTGGTTTTCCTAGATACTTTTGTCTGTGCATTTGGGGTATATTTAGTTTTTCCTTTATGCCCAATTGCTCAGTCTGTTTCTCGTGCAGTTTCTCTGATATGTAAATCAGCTTCAGCCTCTTCCAGCAACACAGTTTCCTGGTGTTCATTGTGAAGATCAATGACCACCGTAAGGCCATGTCACAGCTTTCTCAGCTGTTTTGACTCCTTTAAATCAGGCTTGCACATTGAGCAAGTTTCCAGGGTCTTGTTTCCCTAGCCAAGGCCTTTTTTGTGCCAAGTATGGTCCTGTACTTTTTATCAATTGGTATATTTATGATACAAATTCAGATTGTCATTTTGTCAGTGATTGTGTGCTAAAGCTACTGCTAGGTTTGTTATGCTATAGAAGCATTGAAGTAATTAGCTTTTGTTTGATTTTTTTTTTTTAATTCATGGCTAACACTACCCCAGTTTTGTTGATTACAAGATTCATTGAAGGCAAACAGGATTCTTCTCTTGCAGCCAATTTGCATCTTTGTTTCAGTTGGCTATGGTTGGTTGGTTTGGGGTTCCCGAGTATCTAAGAGATTTTATCTTCTCACATATTTGAAGGTTCAACTTTACAGTCTCAATTGAGTGCCTGTGAATGATACATTCTACCTTTCAATTGATTATGGCCTCGATTCACAGAGTGCTTGCCAAAAACGTTCTTCACAGATGATTTCCACTTTGGGGTTTCAATTACCTTAGGTTGGTTGGTTGTTTTCCTTTGCATCTGGGAGATTTGTTTAACTTGTCAGATCGAAGATTCAGACTCTTACTTATTTGGGTGCCTATGATTAGTCCTTTCATCTGGGTTCATACTTTAAAGGTGGCCATATGATAGCAGTAACATTGTCTTCAGTATTCTATATAGTGTGACTATTATTTTGATGCTCAACACTGTCTGTGGCTCTGTCATTTTGTTTTGTTTTGTGAATAGAGTTGCCAGTCTGTAGGCCCTGACCATAAATGGCAAGGTGTTAAGAGTGGTTTCTACGCATCATAATGAATCCAACCACTGGTCGGATTGAGGTATGCTCTCCACTGAGCCAATTTGTTTCAAGAACAAGATGGTTGGTAAGGTACTTATCCTTGTGGGGCATAAAATAATTGATCTTGTCATATGATCAGTTTAAGGGCAGAGAGAACTACAAAGTTGCTACTAAAAATGGAGCAGTTTTTGCATAGGCATTTCATTGTTTTTGTTAAAATTTATGTATTCAATGTTTCAGTGGCTAAATAAATAAAATCACATGATTTTATTTAGAATTTTACACGAAGTTGTTAAATCAGTAATTTTCCAGAAATTCTGGAAGATTATCTATATAGTACTTTTTTGTTTGTATGTATGTGAAAATGTGCACTGCATCTTCAACAGCATTTCAAATGGAGCTTTTAAAAATGAGTTTAACTTAAATCAGTTAATGGCTGCACACCTGAAGCTAATGGCAAGAAATCGGTCCAAATGATAAATCGCTAAAGAACATACATAAAAAGTTACATACTATTATAGCATTTCACAATGTGCAAGCACTTGAAGATGCTAACATGTATAACTTTAGCTGTAGCAGAGAAATTCAAAAAGTATTTGTTGGAAAGATAAAATTGGGCCATAATTACAGTTCTTAAGGGAGACAAAGATATATTCTGAATACGGTATTAACAGATTTGTCTTTAACGTAAATAATTTTTTAAGTGTATCACACTATGTTTTGAGGTTGTGTTGGTGTTTGAGGAGCACAGCTTCCACCGAGGTCTAAGGAGTTTGGGGTACTTAAGGTGCCTACTGCTAGTCCTTATGTTTCCTCTTACAGTGTGTGTTATGCTGAGGAAGTGATGTTAACAGCAGTAGCTTATAATCTGAAGTGTTAGGAAGATAAATAGATATAATATTTTTTTAATTACTGCTCGGATAATTTGAACGTGAAATAAATTTCGGGATGCTTGCCAAGTTTTAATAATAAACTAAGAACAGCAGCACATGAAAACATAGTATTCTGCTAAAAGTGCTATTAAAAATATATTGAAGATAATGACATTGGCAATAATCTCTATGAATTAGTGAAATGCTCACAGAAAACAACACGTTACCTCTCAGTTATAGTGTAGAAGTTTGATTTGCAGATCAAAATCTTTTCTTGGAAAAAAAAAAAAATTTACTATTTCCAATAGAAAATATTAATGGCCTACTTTTAACACATCTTCAGAGTCCCTACGACATGATGAATCCGTCATTAGGTCCCAATGCTCACGATGATCTCAAAAGCAAATTGCATCCACGGTCACCTCACGAGCCATACCGATACTCAAGGTCGTCCTCACAACCACCTACCTACCGCTCAGATGATCCTTACAGGTAAAATATTAATGTTTAATTTAAAAATAGATGCAGTAATATTAATTTTAGAGATGCTGCTTTAGGCAATTTTTTTTTATTAGAAATGCCGCCTCTAGTATTTTTAAAGTTATAATATTCGCTTGACACACAGTTCTATACCCTACATTTGAAACACAAGCAAGACAAGTCATTTACTTAAAAAATGCTTAATTTTATCTATGGAAATCATGATGGGTATGTTTTTCCTCAGATCATCAGACTATAAACCACTACCTCCACCAAAGAGTAGTAACTACAAACCTGTTCCACCGCCCAAACCCAAAAATTACAAGCCTCAAGCCCCAGGCAGTATTCCCACCAATATGGAAGGAGGAGTTGGAGCCTGGGAAATGTACATGGACGGACGGAAAGCTTATGACCGAGGGACTTATCATACCACCAGTAATGGAGGACTCAGTGATGACTACAGTGGCCTTGATAGTGGACAAGGAAGTAGCCTAGATAGAAAATATGATACTTTTGGCAGATCTTCATATAATAAGGTGTGCAGCCATTAATAGTTTAAGAAGACACATTGGGGCAACAAATTAATGACATGTGTCGGTTAGTCATTCTAAAAAATCAATCGTGCTTTTTCATTAATGTCTGAGTGATTGTCAAAGTATTTTGGAAAAGTTGTGCAGAATTCTTGTTTTTGTATTTTGGGACTAAATTACATAAATGTTTTTGGTAAGTACAGTATGTTTATTTCTTGTACGTATTTATGATAACTGCACATTCCGGTGCATTGGACAATTGGTACCAAGTTATTGGACAAATTTTTTTATTAGAAAATGGAGACTAGAAACTCCATTATTTCTGGGAAGGTCATTGATTAGCTCTGAGATTAAGTGCTGGTACCATCGAGCCCTAGCCAATCACACTAGTCCTCCGAGATCCTCCCATGCCTATTGGAATAAATACCTAGACTCTAGCATGCTGTATGAAGGGAGGGGTATCTTGGGAATCAGACAAACCTTAAATAGATAAAAACCCATTAGGAGGAATAGTCAACACCTAAAATAGCTGCATAAAGAAAATTAGGAACCAAATGTTAAAAGAGGGCTAACGATAATTGCCACAGGGCGAATTATTATAACCGTGATGTACCGGACTGCCTCCAGTTGGCAGTCCGGGGTAACCAAAGGTCTCAACCAGCATGCTACTTCACTCGCTTAGTGCCGTTAGCTGCACATGCCTCCGCTGGACCTACCACCAGCTTCCTGCTTTCACGTAAATTGTTGCTCTTTGACCCAATTCACACATTCTATTATACCCCCCATCCAAATACAAGATTTATAGCACTTCTGCTTGTATTTACATCATAGCGAAGGAAATTAAGCAGTCTATATGATGCTGTAAGGTACGAGATTGAAAGTTATACCCTAAAGTATCGCCAACAACACCCGCTCTTACTTTCTTATAAATAATGGAAGTGCAGGGGTCTATATAGTAAGTCACCAGTTTTAACAACATGGGACAAAAATTGCATCTTGGGGTACAATTTTACAAAAGGATTTTATTTAACACATACCAGATTTCCTCACTTCTTAGAACAAAGGAGGGGGGTGTGCACTTGGATCCTCCACCAGGATTGATACAGACAAAAGGGAGGGGGGGGGGGGGGAAGGGCCCTTCTCCCTCTACAACCTGGAACTTAAGGTCATTACTCTATTCCACTCCTCATAGGTCACTACAAAGGGCCTGGGTTTACAAATTAATCTACAAAATAAATGTGGATAACCCCCATGTGACACACAGCTGAATTAACAACACACCACTCTCCCTACACACAGGGTTCCAAAAATACTTATTTCCACAAATTCCTATCCCTAACTCATAAAGCAAAGGGGAAGCACCGCTATAAACATCTATAATACTGCACTTATCGTGTTTGTTGGAGACCATCCACGACACTGGTCAGGTTGTCACTGCCTCCCTCTCCCAAGTGACTGATGGGGGCTGCCACATGCCCCTGCCTGCCTGGTTCCAATAATGTCCCCTCCCTATACATGTCATACACATTTCCCAATACTTCATTTATATGTCTTATAATGTTTTCAGGCTGTTTTTCTATATTTAACACTGTTGTTTCTCTATTTTCTTGCATTGAATCTGCTTTTTCTTAACTATTTTATCCCTTTTGTTTACATTGGGTTTTCTTTTTAGGAGATTACATTTTCCTGTTGAGATGATGCTCTGCATCTGAAAGGGGTCAGAATTCCAGACTTTTTTTTTCCAACATTTAACACTGCTATTTCTCCCTATACAAGGGTCTCTCTCAATAGCACTGCTATTTCTCCCTACACAAGGGTCTCTCTTACAGTGCTTTCGTTCCCCCATGATGTTGTGCTCTCCATCTTCATTCTGATTTCTCCTCAGACATTCAGTGCCTCCAGATATTTACATAAATGCTCTATTGTCTTTATTAGACGATAGAGCAATTACAATAACATATCTTGCATATAAAAAAAAATACTAACAAGTAAAATATTTTCATTACTAAATTTACTAACATCTTAGTAAATAGATAATCACCTTTTAATATATACTTAAAATGCTCTGATACATACCCAATTGTTTTGTATATACAGTATATTGATACCCAAATATTTTATAGGCATCAATCTCCAATCGTGTAACGGAAGTTAGTGGGAAAATATGGTTCAATATACAAAATTTCACCAGACAATCAACTTCTTAGGAACAAAAGTATCTCGTATATTGAAGGATGCCTGTATTTTTGTTTCCGTTTTGTGTAAGTGTTAATAGTGAGAAAATATTGAAACTATACGATTGGATTGTAGCTGAATATCTTTACTCTGTAAGCCCACGCACTACTAACTGGACCATGATGGATGCACAAGTATATCTACTAGAAATATTGAATGCATCTTCTGGTACCACGATCCAAGTATATACGAGATACCTGCCATCCTTTTCTCTGTACGTGTAAAAGATCTTTGTTATAAATTTCAGGTGACATCCTCAGCATCGGGCAGAAGCGGATATTACCTCAATGTGCCTCCTCCCAGAGACATGGCTCCTGGAAGTAGCCAGCATGGAGGAGGAGGGGGACCTGGTGGTAGGGACCTGCCCAATCATGACCATAGAGGAAGTGCATTTGAGCTATACAAAAAACCCCCCGACCCCCGTGGTCCACCTGGAAGCCATCCTGCCTTACCCGTGTATACAGATCATGGAAACAGGTGAGGGATGTGGACATGCAGATCTTCAGAGGCCTTTGCCTATTTTTTTTTTTAGCCATATTGATGATGATCAAGCTGTCCATTTAAAACTTCATTTGGGTGTACTGTACTAACATATGCATTTTTCCCATACTTTACGGTCATCTTTTATTTAAATGTTATATTTAATCTAATACAAGAAGAAAGGGGAGCCATAGATAGAGGACTAACACAATCTATTATTAATATATGAAAAACACCAGCACATGGACAGTAATTCAGCATGTGTGAAATGCTGAACGTTATGCACTGTGTCTGTATGTCCCCTTGGTTTTGAATGTTATATGGTATGCATATTAATATGTACTGGTTGTCTTTATGTTTGAAGGATGAAAAGTCAAATTATAGAGCAAATGTTGTACAAAAGCTATGGAAAGCTTTTGGCTACACTGATACATATTAGGAGTTGCACATTTGTATATAGGGAGAGTTTGATGGTTAAGGTTATTGCCCATTGTATGGAAAAATAATGGACTTTCCAAATTAAATTTGTTTTGTAGGCATAAATCATACTAAAATATACTGTAGCTATAAGTAGCACTAATATTTATAGTATATAAATTATTTAACTGCAGCTATTTAGTAGGGCACTAAATTGTGTCCCTTTATATTTAGGAGTTATACCATTTAATAACTCAACAGTTAATTGCCAGGAAAAATGTTTTCTCAGCAAAGAAGGATTTTTTAGGATGTTGGTAGGTGACTAGAAGTAGTGCATCCTTGGCAGTATTGTGAACAACTATGTTTTTGCTATCGTCTTTTACTCTATTCATTAAAATTTTAGAAAAATGTGAACAATCACAGTTTTCATCTATGCCAAATTATTTTTTACTAGAGATCTGCAACTTTTCTCTTACAACCAAGATTTGATATTCTTTGGCAATTATGGTTGAAATCGTCGTCTGTAGATGTGTGAAAGAAATGTAAATGGCGGTGGCATGAATAAAACACATGCATGTCTGTGCGTACATGTGCAGTTTCTGTGTATACTACATCTATATTCTATATAGGGTCACATGACTAAATTGTCATTGTACACCCATTAGTTTTCTCTTGGAGGCATGTGAGCACTTACTCTACTTTTGGAGTTTAGATTTACCATATTTGTGGGATAACATTAACAGGTAACGAGGACTTTTAGGTGAAGAAGCAAGTGAATTTATACATTTCTTCAAATGTGACTATAATCAGATGGTGATTGGGTGTATCTTAATATGACAAAAGAAGGCTAAGGATGATGTGAATATAATTAGTGTTATTGCCGAGTGCTAACTATAGTTTGTTACTGCAGTAAGGTAGCTAAAGTAGTTTCGTACAGTTATTTGGAAATTATTATTCACTGCTAGTCAATTGTATAAATGCATAGTGTTAATAGTCTAATGTTATTTTCATCCTTGGTGCTTTATTTGGCTTTCTAATTTATGCTAATAACTTAATCAAATTATAAATGTATGGATCAGGAAAATGGCCAATAACTTGCCTCACAGTAACAATAACCCTGTGAAGATTGTATTGCACACAGAAATCACAGTAGCGTGATGCATCAAATGAACAAATCCACAAGGGCCGTGATGAGGGTTCGAACCTACGTCCATGAGGATCCCAGACGCACCTTAATCAACTGTGTCGTGGCACAGTCACTTAAGGCGCATCTGGGATCCTCTCGGACGTAGGTTCGAACCCTCATCACGGCCCTTGTGGATTTGTTCATAAGATTGTATTGTATTGCTCCTTTATTACCAGCTGTGTCATCGCAACGTTCTCTTCCCAATAATTCTCCAGCCCTTTTTAAAGTATTACCCTACTACTACTACTACTACATGTTCTACCTGTATGTCCCACTGGTTAGGGATTTTCCTTTAAGGTAAATCTAATGGATTTTTGCGATACATGTTGGCAGAAATGCAACAGTGTCTCCCTACATTTCTTGCATCCTGGTTCCCTAAAGCCTAAGGTGTCTCTTGCACTTTTTTGTTTGTGCATGTTGCACAAATTTTATGTTTTCCAACTTCCAAACCAACAAAGGGCAGGGAGTCAAGAAAAGTAAAGAAAATCCTCCTGTGATAGTTCTCTCTAATGTTGTCAGCATAACTCTTAACCACATGGAATAATAGACGGTTAATAACAGCTCATCCAGGATTTTTTCCCTTTGGCTGTCTTTTGTACCGTGATCATTGCTGGAACTATCATAGGCTTTTATTTGTCTAACCGAGGCTGTGCCCACCACTCAGCAGGCGGTCGGTGGCAGAGGAAGGCAAACATAAGGTGATAGCCACGGCACGAGGGGTGTATGATCACAAGGGGGGCACACTCACCTCTGAGGAAACAGGCGTGTCCATAGTCATTCCCCCAGGGGCCATAACCAAGGGCACGAAACAGGAGGTTTACTTCAAGGTGTGCCAAGACAACTCGCTGGTCCCTCCGCTCGACCAGAACAGAGGTCAGTTAGGGGAGGTACCACGGAGGCTTTTCCAGCATTGTCAAAATGCTCTGGTATTAAACAAAATTATAAAATTTTATGAAACCTATTCACTGCATAAATGGATACAGAAATCCACCCCTGAAAATGACACTACAGATAGTGTATAAATGGATCAAAATTATTAGGCACCTTTGGGGAGAACTGGTAAAGCCTCCAAGGTTAGAGAATGGACTTCCCACTTTGAAGAGTGAGGCCTGGATTGCTGATTGTGACCTCCCTTTGCTTGTGGGATGCTGCTAACCCTATTAACAAACTATAACCCTTGAGTAATCCCTTCTTACCAGTATGTCTTGAGTTAATCCTGCCTGCCATGATAACCTCATATTGTTGTGTGAACACTGCCATCTGCCTGTTTTACTAACCCTTAGTGTGTATATTACCATATTAAAACTAACCAGATTGTTATAGAGCTAGCAATAAGTACCTCATCAATTTATTGAAAGTAATAATTTGCTTGAAATTTGCATTTGGAGCCACAAATGGCTTATTGTACAAGATATCTTTTATCATAAGAATACACGGAATGCTATATAGAATTTTTGCATACAGTATTAGTGAATGCTCACCATTGTGTTACCCCATATTATCCCTTATTTCACTCACTGAATTGGTTTAGCCACAGCATACACCATCACAGAGTGCACGCAGGCGTGTGAGTTCCTTGCACAGTATAATCCTTGATTACATATTCAGACTAATCAATAACAACCCATTTCATCATGCCGACTGGATCCCAATCTTCACAGGGGGTTGATGGTGTTAATTTATTCTATTTATTTTGAGGAAGGGAAGTATGTTGTTCGAGTGAGGTTAGTTTTTTTTAAGAGGAAACTTTCAATGTAAAGATTAACTTAGTACTGTATTTGGAAAGAGTTTTTAAAAGAGCACTCTTTAAATGTTTGTCTCATTCATTGAGGCACAGTAGATGGAGGAAAATGATATGTATAAGGTAAGAACTATTTTATGATAACTTAAGCACTGATATGTAATGTTTGGAGGACCAAGATATTTGTATGGAGTATCTTTATTTTCCATAATATTGTAGACATAAGAGAAATAGTGAATTATAGATTGGAAAGGTACAAGTCAAGTGACTGCTTATATATTTGGTGGACAAGGCTATACTGTTAATTTTTCTGTTTCTTGCTTCATTTCTAGAGGGTCGAACGATGGCTCCCTTTTGCTAGCCACTCCGAGATAGCTCTACACTTACTCACAGCAACCCTTCCGAGTCATTAAAAGCCTTGGTGGCACAGTGGTAATGCTCGTCCCATGCCACACACCTTGTGAATGATTTGGCCTAGGTTCAAGTCCTGACCAGGGAGGATTGTTTAGTGTCAATTCTTAATTATTCACCCAGCAGTTAATGGGGTGCTGGTTGCTAACTGATTGGTGGGTTGTGTTCCAGGGAAAACTAGTTATTAAGGATCCCCCCATGAGCTATGAGAAGGGAAACACTTTCAGTCTGCTAACAGGAGTCAGAAGCCATCTACATTTGTACCCACCATTGCAAATAGAAATAAAAAAGGCTACAGGGAATCAGAGGTCAAAGCCTGCTCCCCCCCCCCTCTCCCATAAAGAGGGGGAGAGCAAAGGTACACGAACACTCACTGAATGAAGAACCTAGAATGAAGAGAAGCAAAATGGACAAGTCAAAATAGTAAAACATCACAAACAATCCACCCAGTAGTTAAGTCACCCCCCTTGCCCTAGTTACTGCTCCCATGTTAAACCATAAAGTCATTTGACATTAGGCAAATGACTGAGGGTTTAACCCTCAGTCATTTATCCTGTCTCGAGGGTGGTTTTCTTTGTTGGGTAATCCTTTTGTTGGCTTCTTTTGGGGCCAAGTTCTCGGAGCTGGCTCCTGGTCCCACAATGTATGGGTATTTCTTTGTGCTTTTTTTTTTTTTTTTTTTGGGGCTCTTGGGCTTTGTTTCTTCTCTGCAGCTCTTTTTCAGTCATTGCATCTTCGAGTCTGGGTTGGTTGGGTTACCCCATCCATCTTTTTGCTGGGCGTCTTATTCCCAGTCCCTTTGCTTCTTGGGTTCATTGGGCAAGTCCTCTCCTCCAGGCATGCTATATGGTTCATGAGTTTGAAGTGTGGCAGGCTCTGTAGTGTGTTCATTTCCCTTTGGGTTCTGTTTTTTGGTTGTTCATTGAATCACACACTCCTCCCTCTTTAGAGCTGGTCTCTGCATGTAACTTGTCTAAGATTATTGGGGTTTGCTTCTCTAATCCCTGTCCAAGTGCAAGGTGTATCCAGAGTTTTCACAGATGGTCTCATTTTGACCCCTATTGTACCAGATTGAACCATATCTTGAGGTTACCTTGAGGTGCTTCCGGGGCTTAGCGTCCCCGCGGCCCGGTCGTCGACCAGGCCTCCTAACCTGTAGGCCTGTAACCTGACCAGGCCTGTACTGGTGATACACCATCACCAGTGTTTGTATCCAGTTTTAAGAAATGTTCTGGCACCCTGGGGTGGTCCTCTTTGCTTCAGCTTGAATTTTAGTTTCTATTTTACATGGCTCCATTCTCTGTTTATGAGGCTTTCACAATTGTTGCTTTTGGACTGAATTGGTTGAGGTGGAGGTTCCTTTATCTCTTCTGGAGCCGGTCGGCCGAGCGGACAGCACACTGGACTTGTGATCCTGTGGTCCCGGGTTCGATCCCGGGCGCCGGCGAGAAACAATGGGCAGAGTTTCTTTCACCCTATGCCCCTGTTACCTAGCAGTAAAATAGGTACCTGGGTGTTAGTCAGCTGTCACGGGCTGCTTCCTGGGGGTGGAGGGCTGGTCGAGGACCGGGCCGCGGGGACACTAAAGCCCCGAAATCATCTCAAGATAACCTTCCCTCCAGTTTGGCTGTTGCTTCATGTGTGCTGTCCAGTCTGGAGACTTCCACTGGTAGAGAGTCATCCTTCTGGCTCGGTGTCCGAACCCGGGTGTCTTTCTGCAGCTCCACCTCTTTCTGTGGGTCGATCAGCAAATTTTTATTGCTGGTTCGAATCTCTTCTGTTCATCAGGTGTGCAGTTTCCGATTCAGGTCCATCACCACCTGTATGATTCACACACAGCTTGGCTTCTACGGTCTCACTTGCATCTCATGTCTTGGCAGCATTGTAAGGTTTCTTGGCACTTTTCATCGTCATTTTCCCCCTCCCCTTCTTTCAGTTTCAGCAGTCTTGTTCCTTTTTGTCTTTGCTATTCATGGGTCGGCATCACGTGACTTATACTTCGCCTCTTGCTTGTGCAAGAGGCGAAGTATAAGTCAGGGTTGGAGTGGCCTCACCAGGGCGTAAAGCCAGGGTAGGTTGATACAGGGAAGAAGCTGTTATCCATGCAGCAGGTCTCCGTCCCCATCTCCACAGCACCAAAAGTCTCCAATGGAAAGTCAAATGCCAATACAATTTAAATAGAATATTTAAGTACATTATTTTGCTCTTATATCTAACACCTAAGAATTTGACTTGCTTTTGTGCTTGATGATCGACTTGTGTAACTGCTTGCTAGATTTTTTTAAGTTTTTATTTATAGGAAGCTTAAGATTGTGATTTTGAGTGCCCCCCAAAAAATTTTGAATATTGGATTTATTAGAAAATGAGTTTCCAGCTACATGTGTTGTGTGTGTAATATTTGTCTTGATATTATTATTAAAGAATAAATTTAATAGAAGGAAGAGTCGTTTCTGCACAAGTCAGGAGCAAGTCAAACATGACATGCATACTCTACCATTCATAGCTGTTGATCCCAACATAAATGTAAGTTAGCCAGGAGGCCTGGTCAGAGACCAGGGCTGCGGGGGACATTGATCCCTGAAATTAACGCAAAGTAACTGCAAGGTAAGCCAGTGGAACAGGTTCCATTGGAATCAAGAGGTTCTCAGCCAGTTAATAATAATTATTAATTTATATATACTGTATTCTAAAGACAGACCAATTACAGTAGTTAAATAGTAGGTACAATATTGTATATTTTATAAAGCCACTATTTATGCACAGTGCATCTACTGCACTTATTGTTTATAGATTAAAGTAGTACTGTATATGATAGAATGGATCTCTTCGTGCAGCAATTCTGAACTATATTTGGAGAGATATCATAGTAATATTTTTTTTTCAAAGGTGATCTTTATCTTTCATTTTACACCATTTTGCGATTTTTTTTTTGCATTAGTGTTACATTGACGAGAAGAATGCGATTAAGAAATTAGCTCCATATTCATATTATGGAATTTTATACAAATGGCAGGAATTACACCCTATTTATTTATTTATTTTATTTATATATGCAAGAGTTCTTACACTCTTGTACAGCCACTAGTATGCGTAGCGCTTCGGGCAAGTCCTTAATCCTATGTCCCCTGGAATACGACCCGCCAAATCGTTTAACAACCAGGTACCCATTTTACTGTTGGGTAAAGAGGCTACAGTTAAAGATTGACGCTCAGTAAATCCTCCCCAGCCAGGATACGAACCTTGGACAAAACGCTCACGAAACGCCAGGCGAGTGTCTTAAGAACCACTACACCACGGGGAACTGTAAATGTGTTACTACCATTATTTATGGTCACACTTATGTGATGCTCAACACACACGCTCTCGTCCCATAAGAGGGCCTGGGTTCAATTCCTGAGTAGAGTGGGACGATTAGACAACATCAGTTAGCTTCATATACCTCTGTATACCTAACAGTAATTATGGACAAGAATATAATAAAATAATTAGTAAATTGTGTTCTTTGATAAATGTAACACTGAATAACCTAACCAGTTTTTCAAGTCTAAATCCCAACAAAATTACAGTAATATGCTTAAAGTTGGTGTAAACTATTGCATTAATAATGCAGTCTTGCCTTTTGATAATTACATTAGGATCCTTAAAAAAATTAATTCAGATTTTCCCCAACTCTAATTTTATATTAAATATACTGTATACAGAAATGTGGCATGTGAAAATG